CCATTATATTACAGATATACCTTCTGTGCAGTTAAGGCACTGGGGGTAGGGGTGTTTAGGGAAGAGTAAGACTCTGTAGGGCTGTCCCCATTGACCATGGCAAAAATTATATTTTCATATGAACAATAAGCTCTAGTAAAAATTTGCCTAATACCATTGTCGTATGCCGCTGTTCCATGCTGCTGTCGCGTGCCAATGTCACTGTTGCGTGTCGCTGCTACACTTTATGTAAATAGGCCTTCAGAGGTAAATAGATTATAATACTCCTATAGACAAGTGGTTGGGCATAAAGGAGTCAGATGGCCAAAATGAACTTTTCATTTAACACTGAGGGCCGCACCCAAATTGTGAAATTTCCAGAAAAACCATCATGTATTGTTTTTATACCACTTTATTCTTAGTCCTAATATTAATGTAATGAATGGGTTTTCTAGCCAAAAATAAATGGTAGACAGGCCATAGACATGGGTTGTCATGGGTCACAACTAAACTGCACTTTAAACGTCCATCCATGCTAGAGCCTTAAATCGACTGGTAACCAATTTTAATGATTTTTATTGTAAAAAGTCTGTAATCAGTTATCTGCATATCTTTTAAGTGAATTAAACTTAATTGATTCTTTTTAACTGAGCTATTCATTCTTTTATTTATTTATTTATTTTTTTTTTTTGGGGGGGGGGTTTCCATATTGTATGGTATATTACTGTATCTTTAGTATGTCCAGAATTATAAATAAAATTGTATAAATCACAATAGACAATTTCTCTTAATTGTTATTATTGTTATAATTATAAATATTGTTAACTGGTACTATTGTTGTTCATTTTATTATCTCTTTTAGTTCTTTATTGGTGTATATGTTTAGAATGTTGTATGCTTGCATTACTTTGAGTGCTGATTTTGAGAATAAGCGCAAAATGTTTACTAGTATTTGTGTGCGTTTTGGTAAAATCTGTGTGTATATGATATTGTAAGTGATTTGACAATGTTTTAGGCCTACCCACATAAACGTGGCATCCTATGGACAGCTATGTGTAATATCTTCCAGTCACAGGGACCAAGAACTGACAAGCCTCAGGATAAATGTTGGCTCATCTTAGATTATTGTGTAAACTTTTGGAGTGCCAGTATAATGTGGACAAATTAGTTATGTTGGTTGTTTATAGTAATACACTGGAATGAATTTAAATATAATTTTGTGCTTTCACACTTTTTAAAGACTTATACAAAATTTACAACCAAAACACAACTGGTCACCTTGTATTATAAGCAGTGTATACAGTACCTAACAAGCCCTGTTCAGTGAATCGTTATAATAGTGCTGGAATGCATTCTGTGTAAAAACTTGTTTTTTTCAAGACCACACACTGAGCATGTGACAGAGAGATATTGTTCCTGCTTCTTGAATCGAATCATGGAGGAATTAGTTTTGCAGGGGATTAGTTTTGAAATGCGTCGACAAGTTAATAACAATTTTGGGCCATATTAAGACATAAAAACTCTCTACATGAACAGACCATGAACAAGGATCTAGTCTTGGGGGGGCCAAAGACAGAATTTCCAATTTCAAAAATTTATTTTATATTGTTTCAACCAAATCCGTATGTGTAAATGTGAAGTTATCAGGGATGTAGAATATATGAGTGAGGAGGGAGACACTCCAAAACCCCAAAATCAGGGGGTGGGGGTTAACAATACACATTACTGTGAAGCTGTTGCTGCATATCAGTAAATGACATTTAAATAGGGAAAAAATTATGACTTTTTGAACTAAAAAATTTATACTTTTTTTAACTATACTTGTCAATAAGGTAATAAGATATTGTCCACCTATCCTATTGACAAGGATTAATTAGGTCTAAATCTGGATACAATTCAATTGTTGTATATCCGTAAAATATGTATTCTATTACTAAATGATAAATTTGGCAAAACAATGTTTTAAATGTGCATTTTTCTTCATGTTTGATATTTAGCAAATGATTTTAATTGTATTGCTAATTTGTGTATGTACGGTACTTCAAAACTTATTTTGTTAGGACTTAAACACATGCGAGCAGTTTGCTCATTAAATGGCCTCTTGAGTTCTCACCAGGTGTGCCTGCCTTGAGCAAACAGTTCCCGCGCATGTGACCTACTGTAACAACTGGATTTGCCAGTCATAAGCACTCATTTGACCGGCCAGTCCAGTCTAGGGGTGATGCTAGCTAATATGTGCCATTATTACGACAATATAGGAATTACAGGCGGCTAAAACAGGTTGAAATATGTATAGAAATATATTTTATCAAAAGCTTGATCTCAGAAATTTAGAAATGTAAGTTTTATAGGCACACAGATGTATAGTTTATGAATCTCTATTACGCTTATTGTGTATAGATGAGTTTGAAATCATTCTTGCATGCAGAGTCATATAGTCATGCTTTTAATCATCTTCTTTATAAATATAATCACAGCAGATCACAGTGTACCATGTTGGTGTTTGTTATTGTAACAAATTGTAATTGTTTTGGTGGAAACATGAAATATAAAGTGCGCTTGTGTAAATAGAGATGTGTTCGTTATGAATCATTTCAATGTTTTCTGGGATATTTGCTTGGGGGTAAGAATGTTTTTAAACTTGTCATCTAAACAACAAATGGTCTTATTAATACTAAAGAACTTAAATAGAAGAATGAGCTGCTCCGCGTTTTTGTATTAAAATTGATGGAACATCCGCCCTCCCGCGAATGGGGTAAAATTTGATTATTTTACTAAGTGGAGAAACTACAGGAAACAAACGAACCAGAGCGGCGCCTTTATTATTGCTATATAGCGCCGCCGCCGGGGTAAAATTGCTCTCCGTGTACCCACAATGCCTTTCGAACGGATGTTCTACTATACTGGGAAGCTGTTCTATCTTCTATTTATTATCTTTGCTAATACTTAGCCAATCAGAGCTCAAGTAATTCATCATGCACGCATGATTTCCATAAACATAATTAATGGCACGCCATCCCAAAACCAGCATCAGTACCTGAAGAAAATAAAATTGATTTTTCAATTGATTCTTCCATTCTCCACATTATAAGCTTTAAAATGATGGGTCATTTACTGAATTTTAGTTACTATAGCTAAGGTGAAACTTTTTATACCTTGTTTCACAAACTTTTTTTTTTTTTAGATCGTCAGAGGTGTGCGGAAAAAAAAAATTAAATTAAATGTTGTTTTCTTATTTAGCAAATAGTTTTGACAAAAACATCCAGACGGAGGAGAAAATAAAGATAAAATTATTTATGAATGTTTATTTATGAATTATTGGTGAATGTAAAAAGTGTAGTCATGAGATGGTTAAATGCTCTAAATTAGGAAGAAATATATATCATATCTTATTTTGGAGATTTAAAGGCAGCGGCTGGCATAATAAAAATAAAGAAAAACTTTTATTTTTTCTGAAATTTCTATTTTTTCTTGGCGGCAGGTGTGCTAATTGACCAAAAATTCAATTCTATTTTTTTTTTCCGAAATCATCATTATTGGCGGGCGGCACTAAACAAGGGTACAAAAACAGTTTCGCCTAATGTTATGAATATACAGAGTATAAAAGCTTATTAACACTTGGCCTATAAAAGCCCCTTCCCTGAACCTGGTTACAAGCCTGTGAAGTAGTAACACGGTGACTAGATTTTACTATAGTACTATACAAATCTATTACGTGCAATTCAAAGACGTGCTGTTGTTTGGAATATCCTACCAGAAAACTGTCACTCGCGTCAACGTATTTAAATCTGTTCTGGAGCATCAGTTGGTATGTCATCCACTCAAATAGTGTACATTGTCCATGATGGAGTTCAGTAAGCACAACAAATGTTTAACAACATCATCATTGGAACCTCTGTGTAAATAATCAACACGTATAATATCAGGGGTGGATTTGGTTGGTGTGGGGGGGAGGGAGTCCACCGTCCCCTCTCCCCCCCCCCCACATTTTTTGGGAGGTAAAAAGAAAGAAAGAGAAATTATTGATCGCCCGAAACTCATCAGATGTTATTTCTCCATTTTTTGGAAGGTAAAAAGAAAGAAAAACTAATTATTGATCGCCCGAAATGCCTCAGATGTTATTTCTGGGTACCTAGAAAACACAATTTTCCGGCCATGCCCCTTGACCCGCTAGGGTAGTGTTGTCTCTCAATCATCACCACCCCCCCCCCCCCTTTTCGGACATCTCGGGATCCGCCACTGGATTTTTACTCTCTTTACGTTTGCTTTAAATTTGCCATATCCAAAACCTTCCGATTTCGTTCGATTGTAGCAGCTATAATTTTTTTATTTAATTTTAATTTCATCAATCCATTTATATTTTCGTAACTTTGTTCTCGAAATAAGAGTAGACGGTAACGGTATGATATAAATATTATAAACAACACACATGAAGGTGTCTTCCATTTACAGCCGGGATTTTGGTATATTTACGAATGACAATTAAAACAAATTGCGAAGCTAATCATTCAAATAAATAAATAGTGGAAACGTCTTTAAACACCAATTTGCACCAAACAGTTTGCCTCTGGATTTGAAATGAGCTGAGTAGGCCCTAGACTATTGTAATACACAAATAATTTTGCTCAGTTAGCGATTCAGACTTTTTAACCATTAAAAGCTGACATGACATGGTGCCCAAATTTATGTTGTATTTGTGCTCCTAAAAACAAAAAGTCAGGATCCGGAAGAAAGAAAAAAGAAAAAGAAGAAAGAAAAACATTTGTTGATTATGTTGTACACAACTGATTTTTTTAAAATACACCATAAATGGTGTTTGACAAAAAAAAAATGGGAATATTATTAATAAAATCTTTTATTTTGGAATCAAGATTTTCCATATTATTACAGTACAAAGTAAGGCCTATTGGCCCGGTTATAGAAAAAAAGAATATGAAAAATTGAACTGAATTCAAAACCTACACGACTAAATAGCTTTATGAACTATTTAAAAGAAGCCCAACAGTTTATCAAATGGTAGCATCAATCAGTTAAAGTGCGAAATGTATCAAAACTCAACATACAGTAAAACACATTATTCCAGGTATAGTAGTATACCATAAACTTGCCAATTCTGGTGATAAACTAAATACTGACTTTCTCATGAATTCACCAAACAGTAACGCAGTATTAACAACAAATTTGCTGGCACTGAAAAACTTAGGTTTTCTTAAAAACATTCTGAGACAGTTATTAATGAGATACAGATTTTTGAATTTTAACAACTGGGGGAAGGGGAACCACCCTTTGTCCTCTTTTCTCCAGTTCTTAAATATTCAAAAATCTGTATTAACCATGTTGTTATACCCTCTCGATATGTTATCCTGTATAAATTTGTACAATAAATAAATAGGTCCTCAATAAACCGTTTCCGAGATTTTAGTGAAACATAATTTTTGGTACAACATATCAACAATTTTTTTTTTTGGAGCCTGGCTGACTTTAAAACAATTTGCCAACAGAGGGCGGCAAATAGAAAAAAAAAAGGTCTCCCGCCTTCCCCTAATTTATCTACACTGGCAGAACTTGAAGTCTACTTTAGGATTTCTTTTTTATGCAATTTAATGTTTACCTACAGTCTACTAAAATAAATATATTATTGAAAAATTCGCCCCCCATCTCCCATACCCTTTTAAACAGTACTGTAATATTAATATTGTTTTATTGTTTTGTGAGGGGGCCCTCCTGTTACTTGGGCCTAGCTAGGCCTAGGTTTTGTTTTTTTTTGGTTTTTTTTGTGCAATTGTAATGTTTATGTACAGTTAAGTTTACTAAAATAAATAAATTACAGTATTGAGAAAAATCGCCTCCCACCTCCCCCAATACACTGGCCAGAACTTATCATGGGATAGGCCTAGGCCTAATTGATAGGCCTATAGTCTAGCCTAATACGCCTTTTTATCAGTACTTTTTAAAATGTAATATTATTTTACGAAGGTGGAGGGGGTGCTCTTACTTATTAGGCCTAGCCTAGGCTAGGTAGGTATTTATTTTTTGTGCAATTGTAATATTTGTGTACAGTACTAAAATAAATAAATTACTGAGAAAAATTGAATAGAAACAAAACGACCAGGCATGAAACGCATCAAATCTTTTGTATTTTGATGGCTCTGAAAAGAGCCGTTTGGTTTGAGAATGAACAGTTGATTTACTTCTTTGCAGCCTTCTTTGGAGATTTCCTTGCTGTCTTTGCCCTTTTCCTCTGCTTGGGGCCTTTCTTTGGTGATGACTTCTTGGCAACTTTCTTTTTGGCAGCCTTCTTCGGTTTTTTGGCCTTCTTTGCCGGAGATTTAGCTTTCTTCGCCTTCTTAGCTGCCTTTTTCTTTGTCTTTGGCTTGGACTTCTTTGCAGCTTTCTTTGCTTTTTTAGCGGCCTTCTTTGCTGCAGCTTTGAGTTTAGCCTGTGCAGCCCTCTTCCTTGCTTTTTCTTTCTTTGCTCTGGCAGCAGCAGCAGCCTTTGCTGCTGATACATTTAGCTTGAAGGAACCGCTGGCTCCAACGCCCTTGGCGTGGACGAACTTGCCACTGGCAACTCCTCGCTTCAGTGCCATCTTGAGATGAGTATTCATGTTGCTGTCCACCTTGTAATTGGCCTGGATATATTTGGCGATAGCCTGACGGGAGGAACCACCACGTTCTTTTAATGCTCCGATTGCGGCAGCAATCATTGCACTATACGCTGGATGAGAACTGGCTCGTTTAGGCTTTCTCGCCTTGGCTTTCTTGGGACTCTTTCTCGGTGAAGACATCATTAATTAATCAGATCAGGAACTTCTGGAAATCGCCACTGCATGTAAATTGTGAAGTATGAAACTTTTCGCGCATAGTCGCGCAATATATGTATGTTTTGCGGACCGAGTAGAAGACATCCGCACGCGCTTTTACTTCACGCGCTATCATGCAACGAGTGCAATTTTGTTTGAAATATTGTGTTAAAACATTTATTTCTTGCTAAATTATTAATATAATTTTTGCCTATAAGTAACCTACCATAACTGAAATACATTAGATATACATTGATCTTTCATACTATTGCGATTTTATCGCGAATACATATGGAATAGTATTCGAAAACTCACTTCCAAACTTCGTCTATTATCTTTGAAAACATATTTTTGAATTATCACTAAAATTCCCTTCTTTAAATGTTGATTTTTATTGTTTAGACAATATTGACTCATTATTTGATGTTTTAATAATGTATATCCAAAACTACGTGTGAATATGTTAAATATTTCTGAAGTTATTGTTCATCAAATTTACAAGCTTAACACAAAGTAATTCGTGGCTGGAGCATGGCCGAGCGTCGCCGCTGATGTTGTTATCGTGCTTGTGGTCGTGTGCACAGAATACTGGCGCTAGAAACAACAAGGAATGAGATCAATATTCGTCTTTGATAAAATAGTAAAACCACAGTATATTATCTAGAACCTAATCATAAAACTAATCAATTAGTAATTATCTAATAACGCCTATGTGAGTTTGAAGTACAGTAGGCATAGGCTAAGGCTAGGCCTACAATTTAATGAGTAGTGAAATTCAATTTCAGTTCCAAGACTAGAAGACTTCGCAATATTAATTTAGGATATTATTATTCACCACAACTCTACTTATACTATAGTATAGTATCACAAAATAAGAGAAAATGTTACTACAGGTAAAATCTATAGGCCTAACTTAAGTATTATTATAATAAATATATTATTTTTAATGACCGCATATCACTCTTGTTTTTCTCTCTCTCTCTCTCTCTCTCTCTCTCTCTCTTTTGTGGGGTAACCACCACCACCTTTATTCATCTCCATACAATCAAACAGTTTGATATTTCTCCATTTTCTGGGTTTTCGTTTTTATGTTCTTACACACTTTTTTTTAAAGCTTACATTCTTTTTCTTAAAGCGTATCTTAGGATAATAACGCACTCACTCATTTCTATAAAAAAAAAAATTGAATACAATAAAAATATGAAATAAAATTTTATATAAAAATTATATAAATAAATGCTTTTTGCATATTAATCATCATTGAATATCACTGCGTTATATCTGTACAAGATATTAATGTCAGTACCTTTTTTTGTTTTTGTCTTTGTTTTTTGTTTTTGTTTTTGTTTTTTTATCACTCTTGTTTGTAATCGGTCACGCGGGAGTCGAGCCGAGATTATCACACGGCCTAACTAAGCGGAAGCAGGGGGGGGGGGAGGGGACCATCCCCCCAACTTTTTCTACTGGGGGCCCTGGCCCACTTTTGTGACTGTTCCCAGCACCAGCAACAAACATTTTACGAACGCTGAAATGTGATTATTATTATTATTATTATTATTATTATTATTATTATTATTATTATTATTATTATTATTATTATTATTATTATTATTTTTATTATTAGTATTATTATTATTATTATTAATAATCTTATTATTATTATTATTATTATTATCATTATTATTTGGTGCTTAGAGACCTTGTTTATTTGCGCCTTATAAATTGATCTATTGATATTATTATGAAATATAGATTTATTTTTTTCATTTTCTAACGAACATTACAAGTTCCCTTTTTGAGTTGAGCAACCAAATGTTGATTGACGTCTGTATACACGTTCTGTAAAATTTCCTTGAAACCCACCCTCGAGCATGAAGAAAAAAAGAATAGGATCGCCCGCCTTCGTGAATTCTGTGTTTAGCAAAGATCTTATAAACACAAGATAGCGTTCTCCGCGATTTACGCGTAACAAATAGAAGCGTCAGTCAAGGTTCAAAAGTTTCCCATTGAGCAAGAGGGCGCCATTCATGCGCTATTACCGAAGAGAAAAAGTAATAAGTTTTGGAAGAGGGCGTCCTATCTGTTGCCATGGATCTGAGATGGTTCCTGTTCTGCTGTTCACAGGCGGTGTACTGTATGCGATTTTTTTTTCCGTACGAAACATTTACATGAAACTTCACTCGGGCCATCTCGGATTGACTCGAGTGAGTACGATACGAGGAACAAGATCAGACACTTCGCAATGTCGTGACGCTCGAGTTTTACTATTATTGCTTAATCATCTATAATAATAACTGCTAACCTCCTACCCTATCGCGTTGTTTTGTTTTGGTGACAACATGGCCGGTGTAAGTCACGTGATTGAAACCGAGTTGGCCAAACTCTCTCTATCTACGGCTCTGCTTATTACAGAATTTGCACGCGTAAATCCCGGAGAACGCTATCTTGTGTTTATAAGATCTTTGGTGTTTAGGCATAGGCCTATGGGGGAGGTAGGCACTCTTTATGGAGCGACGCTCTATAGTCAGGGAGATGTAAAATTGTTTACATCTCCCTGCTCTAGTTCTCTTTATGCTAACCATGAAGATGTACAGTAATTGTAACCAAAGCTGATTGGCCAACAGTAAAACTTCAAACTAGCCAAAGATTCCATAAATCTTTTTCTTGCCGCACTACACTCTGTTCTTACTTCAGCCCCAACCATGGTGGTGCTGAGGTAGTACGTAAATCCTCCATCTGTGAAAGTACAATTTAAATTATTAAATGTAGGCGTAACTGCTAATCTTTTAAATAAAATCTCTTACGTCAACTCGGCCAAAGGGGAACATAGATTAGTGTTTAGTGCGAGTACGACTAGGAACGTACAATGCATAAAGGAAAGTACACGATTAGAATCAAATATAGAATTAAAGCTTTTGTACAAAAACAACATATCCGAAACAAGTCTACGTTTTAGGGCTATATTGAAAAAATGTAGGCCTAAACTTTTCACAAATTCGGCCAAATATAGTTTGGCCGTGACTTTCCAAACGTTAAGGCCAGGCGTGAACATAGTCAATAGAAAATGGAACCCATAGCATTGAAAACGCGCTAAAAGTACTGCCACGAAATAGGGGGCGTCCTACACAAAATTTAGAAAATCGTACGTACGCATTGCTAGCTCATTGCTCGAATCTTTTAAAGGCCACGCCCCTTATTTTTGCGTTCCAACGAATCCCCGGCAGTCGGACCTCTCAGCAGTTTTATATTCGTTGATACAAACTGAAGATCTTAAGCATAAAAATTATTGTTTAAAAAAATGTGGACTCTGATATTTATACTGGATAATGATTTAAAAAAAAAAAAAAAAAACTTCTCGTGACAGAAAAATTATGGGTTAACATTTTTTTAAAACACACTATTTTATGTTGATAGATAATTTTTAAAAAAAAATTGATGATACTTTTTTGGTATGTTTATGGGACAATCTGTTAGTTAGTAGGGCCCATATCTCATGTTAATTTTAAGAAATGGTCACATTCGTAACTTTTTAAAAATCTGTGTAGGGCCTAATGTTTTCGCACGTTCAAAAATAAAAATGGAAAAAAAAATGGACGGGATGCTGCAAAACGAAAGGTGGAGAAAGATGCAGCGTAGGTATCTGCATGTATCCAGTTCGCCTCCAATTGGACCAACAAGAGACCATTTTTTTGGGGACCTAAAATTTGGGGTAATCTGGGTTTCGGTCTCACAGGCTAAAAGTGGGGAACATGTATTGAAAATATGGCATCTCAAAAAGTGAAATTTTAAAAAAACCACAAAAACAATAGGGCCTACTGGAAAATTACTGAGCAAAAACAATTCGTTCAAGTGGTTAAAAATCACCTCATTTTACCTTAGGTGCCAGCTACTGGCCCCCAGTAGACAGGTCAAGTCCCCTCCTCCCCCACCGGCCAGAGCTCGTCGGGCAGTCGGACCAAAATAAAAATAGGCCTACACCAACCAACACTTCACAGTCTGAGAGTGCCATTTCCGGCCATCCAGAGGTCCCTATTCTATAGGAAAATCTAATTTGGGAGGAGACACCCCCTCCCAAACCCTCTCCCTGCTCGGGCCTACAAGCTCAAGTCCCCCTGTCGGATAGCTGAGCTCCCCTGCCCAGAAAATATAGGCCCTATCCTACAGCCGCTACTCCTGACCCCTCACTTACTCATTGAGCCCCACCATTCGCGCCCCCTTATTAGGCCTACCCCAACCTCATTGAAGGCGATGACAATAAAAACAGAAGTCAAGTTGACGTATTTTTGAAACATAATTTATTAAACACAATATTTCGTCCACTCCTGTGGGCTTCTATTATTCTGTCTCTTATACACATCTAGATGTGTATAAGAGACAGGTGTGTGTGTGTGTGTGTGTGTGTGTGGGTGTGTGGGTGTGTGTGTGTGGATATACATTGTGAAATGATGTAGCACGTTGATAGGCATGTAGGATAAACCTAGAAACAACAAGCCACAATTGCAATTAAATAAACGTAAAAGCAGACGCCTTTGTTCGGTTTATTTTCCACGTTGAACTTTTGAATGTATATACATTTTTGTTTTTTTAACGCACATTTTCAAAAGTGTGGGTACCACTTATGTCACTGTAGTGTCTAAATAAATTACTTAAAAGAAAAACGAACGGATTCTCAACTAAACAGGAGAAAAATTGTGAAAATAAAAACGGAATAATGCTAAGAGCGCCCTCTTTTGATGATAACAAATCTGGTGGTTGTTTTGTTTTTGTAAATAATAAGTTGGGCAAAGTAAGTACTCCAGTTAGGCTTACCTTAGTACTCTCTAGGCCAAGACTAGGCCAGTAACTTATGTTGAATCTTGTTTATTGGTGGTAATGTAACTGTTTTCAAACACGTTCCTTATTTATCGACATTGACTGTGTCTCTGGTAGCCTAAACTCGAATAGACGGCAAGAGCGAGTACGCCCCCACGACTGAACGTGAGAGACGGAAGAGAGAGACGGATCGAGACCCGAGCGACCACTCTCTTTCCACCAACCACCAGACAGGGCATTCGAGTCGATGGCCTTGGACGCTCAGTTGTACACGCCGGTTATTCCTTCTAAAATGGAATCTTCACTTGAAAAAGACTCTGGTTTTGAGGACAATTTCGATCCATACTCAACCTTTAACCAACAAAATGGAGTTAAACGACCTAAGGCTAAACCAGTCCTGCAGAGGGGAAAATCAGAGGATTATTTGGCTGCACTGGGTAAGAACTGAACTGTTTTATTTAAATGTATTATGATTAATTACAGCCTTATTTTGGTAAGATTTACACAACTTCTCGTCCAGCTTACTTGTGAGAACCTCCTACTAATAATGTACTCAGTAATAATAACAACTTTGTTTTTAGCCAGAGTTCTCGCTTCCACCTGTCTAGAATTACGTCCAGTTCGGCCGCACACCAGTTCGGCCGCGAGATATTCAATGCCCAAATAAGGGTTATTGTATGGAACGCCGATTAGTGTAATCGATGCGTGAATTAAATATCACAGTCCAACGTCTCGATCGAATTGTTGAAATAAAGAGTATAAATAAAATGTATTGTTTGTTTTTACTTCTACTTAGAAGAACACAATACCATTTAAATATTTAATTTAGTACAAGTTTTATTAAGATTGATTGTTTTGCAGAGTAGTTTTCATAGCATAATTTTTAGTTAAGAAGTGTTTTACATTTATTTTATCCTGCAAAACATTCTAAGTTGAAACTTTATTGGTTGGAAGAAATTTAATTTAATCATATCTGTAACTTATCAAGAAACTTGATTTATATTTTGGAATAAAGTATATAATCAATCCTGCATTAAAATTATATATGTATGATAACAAGCGTACCTATTGCAAGACGATTATAAGTTCCAGAAAAAAGTGATTGATTGGTTAATTTAATTTACCTCATATGCAAACACGATGATATAAGTGACCTATATATCAAATAGTGGTAATTAATAATAACTAAAATAAAGTGATTTTATCAGAGTTATCATTAATTAGGTGTAAATGAATGAAAAATATTCTACTTGGAAATAATGCATTTAATCTATTCATGAATGGAAATGAATTGCTTTAATAGGTATCAAGCTGCCAGTACTAAGTTGCCTATTAACAATGAATTCATTGAGAAACGTTCCCACAAGTAGGGTCCAATGATTCTCTTGGGAGAATAAAAACACAAAGTTTTGTATGCCACCAATTCAAGAATGTTATCGGAGACGAAGTCTTTGTACGCCGCCAATTCAGAAATGTTATCGGAGACAAGGAAAGAATGTCAAATGCTGAAAATAGCCGACTGGCTTGATCTCTGTACATGGAAACTGTACGAACATGTACGATGGTTTAGGAATGTAGTTGTTCCCCGAGTTGTTCATCTATACAGACCCTATAATGTAGGGTCTGTGGCCATGCCCTATACGAGTGGTGGTTTCCTGTGTATTAATTATTTTACATACAAGCTTAATTCAGACATTGATATGATCATTAACCTCTGTTGTGTGTTATAACAGTATTATTGCTCGTTAAACCAGGTTGAATTTTTAATCAGTTGGTGAATTCGCATTAGGTGATTCATCAATCGGCAGACACTGTGTACACTCGTTCTGCATGAAGAATGGGCATGTTTGGCCCTATCCAATACAAATGTAACCAGGGAAACGTGTATTTATATTGTTACCTTCTCAATGAAGGGCATTTACAGTTCTTTATTTAAAGTTCTTGATTTTAGTACGATGTATTTCGTGTTTTTGTTTCTAAAGTAATACACAGAATCATTGAAAAAACATTGCCGGTCGGCAGCCTGTCAGCGTCGGTCGGAAATTTTGAGTGCCGGACAGGGGCATCAATAATGTGATTTTTTTTGTGGCGTTTATACTTCCTGCTTCAAATCAGTCAATCATTTAAGAACGTATAGGCCTAGACATAATATACAAAGAAACATAAAGCATCAAATACTCTAAGCATTAATAATATTACGAAAAATATAATAAAAATCCATTGATTTGGCAGTATATTAATATTATCTTTCTTCTTCTTCAGTAATATGCATCGACACTGTAATATGAAAATAATAAAATCCTTTGGTTTGATTATCAACATATAAATTAGTTTGTTTCAAATAGATAAAACGAAATATATGCAGGGGTGGATCCAGGATTTGAAAGAGGGGGTGGGGGGGTTCAAAATGTTCCAAAAAACCGAAAATGAAAGGGGGAAAATTTTGATTCCTAGATGGCCAGAAATGAGCTTTCCCAACTTCTCGGGTGTCTTTTAAGGTCCTTTTATTTCTTCAAAATTCGAGGTTTTCCCTCTCTTAAAAAAGGTCAGGTGATTTTTATCTCATTCTCTTAGGCCTATACATAGAGAGAAAAAAAACAAAGACATATGCAATATATTATTATATTCCAACAATATTGAGTAGACCTAGTTGGATACGTAGTCTTTCTTCCATGGATTAATGAACCGACATTCCTGAAGAACGCACTTTTGTATATATAAATTAGTACAACGTTGAACCAAAAACAGTGTTTTTAATATTATTTAATTTAAAGCTAGTTTTTTTGTCCAATCTGCTACATGACTATGCTAGTAATTGGTAGGTTAGCTTGCCTTTTGTAAGCCAGCACCAGTAGTAATTTGTTGTTTCTTCACAGGGATGGGGGGTTCATTTGAACCCCCCTGAATCCGCCACTGATATGAATCTTAAAACATTATTATTAACTTACACAAACCTAATAAAATTCACTGTTCATTTGTTTCAAATAGGGAAAACGTAATACTGTACTGTATATGAATCTTAAAACATTATTATTTACTTACACAAACCTAATAAAATCCACTGTTCATTTGTTTCAAATAGATAAATCGAAATATATGAATCTTAAAACATTATTATTAACTTACACAAACCTAATAAAATCCAAACTCATCGCAGTATTAATGCCATTGAATTGCTTAAAACCACATTAATTAATTTGCAGCATAAATACCTGATATTACAACACAAAATCATGTATCTGTAGCAGCAATAGATTAACCACACGCACAAATAATAAAATTCATTTCATTTGGTTTGATTATCAACATATGATTGCATAATAATGTACATTCGTTTGTTTCAAATAGATAAAACGGAATATGCCATCTAAATCATTAATAATTAACTTACACGGGACTAATAAAATCCACTGTTTTGGCAAACTAATAGCAGTATATTAATGCCCTGATTTCCTTAAAACCACATTAATTATTTAGCAGCAACAATAGATTAACCACACGCACACATACAGCATGCACAGCTTTGCACCCACTTGGCGTTCCATACAAATATATCGCGGCCGAACTGGTCCTACACCGCCTGTATCTGACTAGTTTCTCGAAACCTAGTGTTTGTGGCGAGTCCATGTTTGTTGAATGTTGCCATCATTGTCATACAAAAGTACAGCATACTGTACTGCTGGGCTTTTGAAAACATGATGGGTGTGTCAGGGAGGAATAGCCATATTTATATTTAAATTAAAAGGCAATATACTGAAAAAAACCATTCTCTGGGAAAACACAAGGCATGACTATCAGTTAAAATTAAGTGAAGGTTTAAGCATCATATCTATCAAGTAACAAGAAAAATATATATTTTGTCAGTAACATTCAAGCACACTTTTTAATGTGTAATATCAGTACTGACCATACTAAACCTGCTATTAATGTTAAAGACCGCTCCAGCCGGGGCAGGCCTAGAAATTTACTTTTTCAGCCACTAGCAACCTATTGCTAAAATTTGCTAGTCGTGAAAAATGTATCTAGCAAAATGAGTTGCTCATCTAGTAAAATATATTGATACCAACCCAACATATTATTTTTGGAAAATAAATTGTATGAAAATAACAACTAATGATTATGATGTACTTCTATTGAAATTTGTGTGTATGTTGTAATATAATATTTTCTGTTATGGTGAGTGTAGTACAATATATATCACAAAAAAATAGCCAAATGAGTGTAAGTAATTGATTTCTATACCTTGTACATCTATTCATTGCAGTTTCAGAACATTTTAATATGAAAAAAAAATCACAAATACAAAATAAAAATTAAATAATTATATACTTAATTTATTTTTAAGAAAAATTAAGTATATAATATATATTCAATTTTTATATTGTATTGTATTTTTGTAACTTTTCTTTCATATTTTATTTCACTTAATTTGTTTTAATTGCTAGGCTAATTACAAGACATTTTGTATAGATATTCCAACTAGCAATCATTTTTTTTTTATTTGCTGGTTTGTGATTGTTTACCTAGCAATTATGACAAACCTACTAGCAAATTGCTAGTTTGCTAGTGCGAATTTTGAGCCCTGGGGGTCATGGAAGGGACAGTGCTTATGAAATTTTATCTGATAGGGACCTATTTAATATTTTTTTTTTTTGCTGATAGCTGAATTGTTAATTAAGTTTGATTTACAGAATAAGAAAAAAAGAATCATTAAACTACAATTAAGCCACTATTCTTTATACAGTGATCGCATCATGTTGGAATGATTTCTAAATGGCCAATGTTGTGTAACACTCTACAGTTAACATGAAGACCAAACAGATGAACAAAATTAGAACTGAAATCTTAATTCATATACAAAAATAACATATCGTGCAACAAATAACTATAAGTGGGTGGCAAGATTAGATTTTGTTGAAATGTTGAAACAATGTTACATGTTGAAACAATGGTTTTCCTAGACAATTAGCTAGCAAGCTTTTGGATAAATTTGTTTCTGATACTCCTAAGCCTAATGATATTAATGATGACAATGAAAATGTTAGTAAGGATATTACTAAAATTTGGGTACATATTCCATACATTGGTCGTCAAGGAGAAATACTCCTCCGTAGATGTATTGGCAAAGTCAAAAGAAATCTAACTAAAGATGTTAACTTCATTACTTTCTGGAAAACTAAAAAAGTATCATATTTCACCTCAACCAAAGATGTAACGCCTAACGAATATCTTAGTTCTGTTGTGTATCATTTTAAATGCCCTGGCTGTGAATGCGAATATATTGGTAAGACAGACAGGTGCCTTATAACTAGAATATCTGAACATTCTACTGTCTCTAACAGTGTCATACACAATCGTATTGAGTCTTGCGATGCTTTTCAATATATTTTAAAACTTCATAATTTGCCTAACACAATTAAAGATGATTTCATTGTTAATTTCAAATCTCTAATATATTCTAACACTGCAATAATTGATAGTTCTCCCATCCCATTTACTATTTAAAGAAGCCCTTGCTATCCATCGCCTTAACCCTAAATTAAACTGTGGTCTCAAAGCATCAAGAGAGTTGTAATTGTTTATCTAATGTAATCTAACCCAACTTAATTGCCTCTTTCATAATCACCATTATGCTTAATCACCATTGTTATTGTACTAGCTTTTAATCCCCTCATTTAAATATTGTAGCATTTTTTGTAAAAAGTTTTCTCATTCCTGATGATTACCCAATAAAGGTCGAAACGTTGAATCATGGCCTCCCCCTCTTTATTCGGAGTAACGTTCATTTTATGTTATTGAAAAAATGTAATGATAGCTTTTTGACTCTTAATATTTCAACAATTTCTCCAATTAAAACCAAGTATTCTGTTTGCCTTGCATATAATGTAGTCAACATGTTTAAAAAATAATTTTATGGTCAATAAATACACAATATCACGATGAAACAAAATTTATCTAATAAAACATCCGCAATCTTATAATTAACATGAACAGGTTCTTTCTTAAGGGAAATAAATATAAATTTACACTTAGAAACATATTCCAACGGAGGACAGCATCAAGATCCTCCTGAGAAACTGACATCCTCAGTGATGACAAAACACGATACAGTTTTAAGTTTTAAAAGTACATACAGTAAGCAGTGTGAGTTGTCGACAAAATTAAGCATAACATTAATGAATAAATTTTTTAAAAGAGGTCCTATGCTGGATCGCTGCGGTGCACAAGAGGGTAGAATACATGCTTCCTTCCAGTCAGAATAAATACTGTAAATAACCACATTAAATAACTGTTAATTAAATCATAGGAAGAACCAGTAATACTGAAAATTTTAATTTTAAAAAGAAGTTGTTATTGTTGTTATTGGGACAGGCAGTAGATGCTTTTATAGAAAAATCATTAAAAATAACATTACATTGTGTTTTACATTTGATAGCATTAAGGACTGTTGGAAGAAATTTTGCTAGATTGGTTTGGGTGGATCTACCAGGAATGAACCTGTGCTGCAAAGGACTAATGGCAGGAAGGAAAAATAATGTGTTCAAAGATTTTGGAAATGGAGGAGAGCAAAGAGAGACCTGTAGTTTACAATTTTTTTTTCCGCGGGTGGGGAGGCGTCAACTTTGTGAATTGGGCATTAGCTTTCTTCCATTGATCTGGGTAATTACCTTCAAGTATTGATTAATCGAAGATTTTTTTTTAAAGGAAAAGCAAGTAAGACAGCCCCGATTTTTAAGATAACATTACTGAGGCCTTCGCAGCTATCTGCCTTATGTACACAGAACTTAGAAAAACGGTCAGTTACTGCATTGATGCTGACAGCATCCAGCATATATTCAGAAGTATCTAGGTTTGATTAAGCATTTTATTACTATTTAGTTTTCATGCTACACTTGCATGGTGCAACACTCTTCAGATAAAATTACCTAATGACTAAGATAGATTATTAACACAGATTAATTAATTATAATTAATTAATCTGTGTTAATAAGTGCTATATATATATATGTTAATAAAAACGCTGTCAGTACACCATACTTAGGGTCGAAATGGCTCCATTCCATGTTAAATCTTGTATTATTATTATCATCATCATTATTTGTTTGCATTCATTATTGTTTTGTTTATGTTATGTACCATATAATTGTTAATGGTTTTGATTGAGTAATTCATTTGTTGTTTTCTGCGTCTTCAAAAACAACCACGCAATATCTTCTAAAGTAATGAATGATAAAAGTAATTGTCTAATCTGCAAATGGTAGTTTAATATATATAATTGGAAATGATGATTTTAAATCAGCAGTATGCACTCGTGGGTGGTGCATTATTACATGCAGAAGAAGCGACATCATTAAGATATGAATGATAAGGTAACTCCACATCATCCTCTCCCAAAATATTGCAGTGGATTAATTTTCTGAAAAGGTCAAATTAATGGTAAAAAACAATTCATTTGATGTGAATAGATATTGAAGATTTACTTATTATAGCCACTAATAAAAACTATGTGGTGTAAGTATTGTAATATATTTTGAATTACCAACCACATTTCTCACCTTGTAATCTATAATTAGAATACAGTATGTATAATAAATTATGATAATGGCTAACAGTGCACTAGATTTAATTTATAAGCAAAGAACAAATAAACAATAATTCTCCAGTGTAATAGTGAGTAAGGGAAAGGAAGCATTCCATCAAAAACACAATGTGGTTGCTAAGGCCACAAGCATGTAAATTGTCCTGAGACATTATTCGGTTAATTAGTGGAAATAAAAGCGAAACCGAGATTGAAGCTTTGGAATTATAATTGTAAGTTTAAGGATGTAAATTTATAGAAGCATTTATTGCTAATAGTTTGAGACTACCATGTGGATTAGTGATTAATCCAGTGGATAAATACTGTAAATACTTTGATAGCAATGAGCTTAATAATACTAGGTCAGAGTGCTTTTGATGCTAGTACCTAGCTCTACATTTTTGGTCCCAAGTGTAAATATTGATTGTTCTAGTCCCTAGCTGACATACAACGTTGAAGGTTCAATTCATGAAATGCATTTTCCTGTGTAATTAAAACATAGAAGCGGTTTGGTAAAGCTGGAACGGTTTGGTTTCCCAGCCTCAAGGTCGGGTTTGGATCCCTCTCTGTGCATTTGATTGTGTCCTTGGGCAAGGCACTTTATCTGCATTGCTTCTCTCCACCCAGGAATATAAATGGGTACCTTGTGGGGTCACCTGCTCCTGCACTGATTACCAGCAACAACAGTTAAAGCATTACCCAATGACCAGGGAAAGGAACTGCGCTTTATAACCTCAAGGAAGAGGCACATTATAAATGCCTGTACCAGTTAAATATCACAATACTCAAGAGTCAAAATTTACAAAAACTTAAGTAAAGGTATTAGTACTGTACAACACATTAACACATTCTTCGGAAAAAAAACTTTCAAACCTTAAAAAGATAAAAAGATTCTGTCCAGAAAATACACATTATTCATATAATTCTTTAAGTATGTTAGTACTGTAACATTTACACACCAAGCGTAAATAATGTAAGCAATGCTGCAAAGACAGAGGTTTATTTTGGCGGGTGAGGGTGGTGGATGAGGGGAAGGAAGAAGAATCTTTGCCTTAATGAACAAAATGAATGTAGCATACCAACCCCTAAATAAGAACAATAATTTGCATTTTTGTCTCTTGTCTATGGTTGAAATCTAATACTAGCACTCCCTTCAATAAGGACCCAAAACAAAACAAAAATAGTCCTTCTTATTTGTTAAGGAGATTGAAGAAACCAAGAAAGTTCCCTTTACTTCTTAAGTTGGATGACCCAAGAAAAATCTCTATCCTGAAGAGGATAACCCCAGGGGAAATTCTCTTATCCTATGTTGAGAATATCATGGCAATTATTCTATTCCCTAACAATGAGTACCCCACGGAATTTTTTTTTTCTGTTTCAGATGCAGCATTATCAGGAAAATTTCTCCGTAACAGTATAATTCACTTTTCCCTTTGGCTTGTTCACAATGTTTAATTTCATTACTATGTACCCAGGGATGGGTATTCTTAATGAATGTTTAACATAAAGATTGTCTATCCATTTCGGTGTACTGTACGCAATGTTAAATGTCCCTCGAGGGAGCTGTAGCAGTTACACCCACTTAATCATGATGCATGCACTGCTCCAAAATTGGATGTGATTGGTCCAGTGATCACTTAACCTAAATATTTTTTCAATTCTCTGTATTTGCACTACAGTATGCAGTCTTAGGAAATGAGACTACTGTGGTTTATGTTAAGCGATGCGGGTAAGTAGTAAATCCTTGCCGAGCCGCTAGGGCACATAGGGCTGGAGTTTATCCCCAGTTTCCCCCCCCCCTGTCTCTTATACACATTCGGATGTTGGTCCACAGTAGGTTACTCCCAGCTGAGTACCCATTGATACAGCTGGGTAGACTAAAGCAATGTAATAAAGTGCCTTAGGGTACAAGTGAAATTCCCAGCTAAAGATTCAAACCCCAATCTGGAGGTTGCAGAACCAAACTGTATCCACTGAGCCAAACCACCCCTTCCTAAAGCAATGTGATATTGAACAATATTATTCATTTACATTTTCCTGATGTTCAAAATTGTTTAGGCAAAATTGTAATCAAAGTACTCTTTTTTTCCAATTCTGAGAATTTGGTTTGTTATTGCTTATTATAAACTGGTTTGAAAATTCTGTTAATGCTAATACATTATTTGTCTAGGACTGTATACAGTAGTCAATTTACTTTTATTAAAACAACCCACTCAATCAATGCTTTATTGTTATTCTTGTGTTTACATTTGTATTTCAAATTTAAAAATTATATACATACCAGATTAGCCAAAAAGTAAACTGAATTATTCCATGGCAAGTCAAAAGATATAAAAAAGAGACTTGCTATATAATATTTTGTATACATAGCTAGCTCTTTCATTTGCAAAATATATTCTCAATTATAAATTCCTATTAAAAAGATGCTCTTAATAGAGATTTTACCAGAAATTATGAAAAATTATTGAAAACTAAAAATGTGAATGTATGTATTGTATGTACAAGCAAATTATTGAACAAACTGATTTTTGTGTCTGGAATAGAAAATTGAAGTAGCCTAGGTGTGTTTTTTGCTATTAATTCTGCTTATAATTTTATAGTATTCAACTCAACTAATCATTCCAGAGACATCTGTCTTTTGTGATTTTTGACGCATTATTGATGTGATTATCCCACACCTGGTCATGTCTGCCAGACATCTAAATCTGTCAACTTATTGAAGAAACACACTTTGACATGACACTCCAGCATAACATCTACCCCCAAAGGTGTAATGGTACGAAAAACAAAACGAGCATTATGGATAGCGTTTTGAACTTTGTAAGCAGTATAGTGTGCGTCCACACGTTTTAAGCGTACTATCCATGTTCAAGTGTCTATTCTAATTATATATTTATACTGAAGAATGACATTTATCATCGTGATAATAGGTTTAATTGTCAGTCTTCACCTAGGTTAATAGTCACCAAAGGATTATAGTAAAGATCTCTGATTTACAGAACACTTCAATTCGATTTGGCTGACCGCACTTTCACATTTCATTTCATTGGACATGCACACACTGAACAATAGTTAGGCTACTGGTTTTTGTTTTTTTTTTTGTTTTTTTTTATTGAAGCATCAGTCAACCCAATCATATGATGTGGTAGGCTGCCATTTAAAGTAGGCTACCAACAGGGTTACCAATTGAGGCAGTACTTAAGCTACTGTAACAGTGAAGTTTGTACTAGGCTACCAATTGATGTACCAGTCAAAGGAATGTTTCTAAAACAAATCCAAAAATAATATCACTAAAGCAATATTAAATTTGATAGCAAACATCTCCATCAGTGATGTACATTACCTATATTATACAAGTGTATTGGCATGGGAGAAGGGCATGTGATATGAAAGTGAGGGGGAAGGGGAGGACTAGGCTTGGGATATGAGGTGATTCTTAACTACCTGATTATTCTTTCTTGTAAGAATAGTAGTACAGACTTTAAACTCCAGAACATGGCAATGTTATTATGATTTTAATTGAAATGTAAATTTCAAAAACTAAGAAGCAGTTGGGTATTGACCGTGATCACTCTTAGCTTATAAAGAAGTATAAAATACAATGAAAACGTGTGGCATTGTAATGTTCGTTTCTAAAAAAAGCATGTTGGAAAATTGAAATAAAGATAAATAACGTTCAAAATATCCGGCATTCAGAGCAATTACACAGGTCAATATAAAGTGCATACGGGGTTACTAAACCTATTGTTGACCTGTTATAATGTTTCAAGTATTCCAACCTAACAGTAACACTGGCCATTTTTCACCAATTGCATCCCATTATAAACAAGTACTTTTGATTTTGTAGTAGCCACTTTGTGTAAGCTGAACCATTGTTTCCTTCCTGTTTCAGTATATGTATCTGTTTTTCCTTGTTTCAAAATGTACAGGGATGGAAATACAAGTTACAATATTATAGTGCACCTTAGAAATGGATATTATTTTATCTGTTTCTTTCCTCCATGTTTTATCTAAGTCATGCTTTTGCGTACATCAAGGCACTTGGTGATAAGAGTACCATACTGTACTTTAGAGTAGTACGCGCTGTTGTTGTTAAGGACTTTCTGTGTGGTAAAGAATACAAAAGTGCTTGACTACCAATACGCGCTCGTTTTGACGCGCTATTGTGATTTCACAAGCTAACACAATCTTCTTTGATTTTGTTAGTTCGTGATGTGATCAATGATATGAAGTTTTTCTTGGTAGATTTAAAATATATTAACAACTTTATCCAAAAACACCATAATGTGTTTTTTCACAAATAATATAAATATTAATATAAAAATAAAATATAACCCTGTA